ACTGCGTGGCAAGGAAAGACGGCATGGAAAGCCTTCCAGTTAGTGGCAATAAATTTTCTCGGAAACAACAAGGCAGACAACTACAGGTTGTTGGTGGAAAACCTCCTCAAGGCATACAAAAGCCTTGGTTGCAACATGTCACTAAAGATACATTTTTTGCACTCTCATCTAGATTTTTGTCACCGAACTGCGGAGCAGTGAGCGACGAGCACGGCGAGCGATTTCACCAGGACATTGCAACAATGGAGAAATGCTATCAGGGCAAATGGAGCCCATCAATGCTTGCAGACTATTGCTGGACAGTGACAAGAGATGCTCCATTTAATGAATACAAGAGACAAGCCAAGAAGCGCCGAGTAGACATTGTATAGGACTAAACTATGTACATAATAGTTTTTTGCCTTTTGTTTCATAATAAATTTGATTTATATAACCCTTTTGCTGATTTTTAAAGTGTTACATAAACAGGACAGGTGAAATATTATCATGTAAAGCAACAATAAACACATGAAAAGACCTAGGTTTACAATTTATGATTAAAACTCTACTATCTACACAATCTACATAGACCTAAAATGTAAAAACTTAAATATCTTAGAAACAGTAGCCAATCAGTTGTTTTAATTGTCATATTTGAATTCAGCACATCAAAATACATAATAAATAGCACATTTTATCTCTGAAGCAGACGACTTCTCAAAAATTGTAGACCAGTGTTACTTGGCACTTATATAGCCCTTTTCATCAGTAGCTCTCAAAAGAGTTTTAAAGGAGGATGGGATTTGTTGGGGTAGGGTTGTCATCCTAAGCCTCCCTAAAGGGTTCGAATACTTATTAGAAAATAATGGGAATTCAGTATCCAGATCTCCTAGGAGCTTTGAAAATCTCAGCATCGCTGTCTCACACAGGAATGGAAAATCTTCCCTTGGTGCAAATCAGACTCTTATTTATGGGAAGGATGTGGGAGCACAGACTAAAACAGCTTGTGAAGTGTTTGAAAATGTTTTCTTATATTTGAACACTTTTGTGGGTCTATTTTTCCAGCTAATTCATGATGAAATATACTTGTTTTTTTGTTTGTTTATTTGTTTTTGGCCTTTCCAAATGTAGGTCTAAGTGAGGTGGGTTTCTTTAATCCATTTCAGAATGGAGGGGGCAAAGGGGGAGACCTGCTGCAATACATACCTTTCAGGTAGTGTATGGCTCAGCTCTATGTATCTTGCAGTTAGGAAAAAAAGTCTCTGAAAATATGAGCAATAAGAGCAGCTGTGACACATCTTGTAAGAGGGAGCGTATTTCTAGTGGTCAGAGAGCAAGCCTAAGAGCCAGCTCTTCTGGGTTCTGTTTACAGTTCTGCCATCGAGTCATGTGCTAGTGACACTGTGCCTCAGTTTCCCCATTTGCAAAATACTGGTTGTGGTCACCCATAGATGTGTTGTGTGGCTTAATATCCATTAAGTGCTTGAAGATGGCCAGACAAAATATTCTCACTATGTGCAAAACATTTGCTATTTCATAATATATGGACACTATAATGTTACCAAAAGACATTGATGACAACAGTATGATACATCCTATTTATCATTCTGCTCTAGATTGTGTCCAGTAACAAAATAATCAAATATAGGTTTAATACCAAGAATTATGCATTTTTGCTACCTCTTGAGTAAATACCAAGTGTGTGCCTCTGAGTGAGTCAACATGTTGGCCATGCTGCTACCTTATCTCCTGCTTATGGAGCTGAGCCAATGACTGAAGTCAGTTGACTTCAGTCACTTATCCGGATCAAATCGCACCAGTGCAATTTTATGCTTAAACCAGTGCAGAGCATCTACACTGGAGACTCTCTTTGCTGTAGCTACACAAGTGTAAAATATATACATCTTATAGACAGGGCCTATGAGGCATTTTCTTTTCTTGCTGAATGTAATTCACTTTGAGTCTCAGGGGTCTTCCTAGGTCGAACACCAATCATTTACAAACAATCTGGATTTACTTGCTCTCTGAAATAAATCTATTTTAAGAGTGCCTATCACAAGGCAGAGTTTGTGACATAATTATCTATTCCATGTCAATGGACTGTCATAAACCTAAGATGATGATCAGAAGGAAAAGCTGCCTTATGCAAAGGAGAGTCCTTACTCAAATACAATAGTCTTCAAAATCAGACAGATAGTACTTTGTAGCATGCAAACAGACTTATGGATATATTTTGATAGCATCCCAATAGACTTTCCTTATTAGACAATGTGGTCAAAGGTTACAATGAATCATGTAGTCATACTTTTTATTTGCTCTATCAGTCTTTTCAGACATACAAAAGAGAAGTGCCATATAAAATGTATACAAAAGAGGAGAAATGTTATTAGCTTATTTTTCATAAATATAAACCAGAAGTGTACAAACCCCTTCATACCAGCAAATCCTTAATTCAAAGTCTCTAATAAATGCCTTCATTCTTCTCCTAATGAAATCCAGAGGAGTAAAGGATGTCAGAGAATACAATTGCTGAAATGGCTGATCCAAACACCATGGGCGGCAGGTATAATAGGCCAGGGAAGGCTAAGCCTTCCCTAACCCAGGCTATGGCCCTGCCCACCTCTGCCCCAAAACCCCACCCTCGCTCCCCTTCTCCCCTGAAGCCAGCGGAGGCTCAACTCAGGCCAGTGGCCTAGAACTTGGGGCTTGGGCTGGCTGGTGGCCCGGGGGTCGGCCCAGGGGTCCGGCTGACCAGGGGCCAGGGCTGGGTTGGGCTGGCCAGCAGCCCAGGGTAGCTCAGGTCAGCCCGAGGTTGGGCCAGTGGTTGGGCCGGCTGGCGACCTGGGGCAGCTTTGGCCGGCCGGCGACTCAGGACTCGGGGCAGCTGGTCTGGGCTGGTCTGGGGCTCGGAGCGGCTGGGGCTCCTTCGGCCGCAGGGGGGTCTTGGGGCTGCAATGTGTGAGGGGGGGCAGGAGGGGCAGGGCCTCAGGCAGAAGGGGCAAGGGCAGGGGCTAGCCTCACTGAAGGGAGGGTTCACGCCCAAAACACTAGAGCTGGACTAAATTTCAGTTGTTTGGGGGATTCCCCCCTTTTTTCCAGAGACAGGGAGAAAAATACTCCTCAAATTTTTCATTTTGTTTTGTTGAAAAGTTCTATGAAAAGCTTTGTACAAAAAGAACATTTTAGTTTCTTTCTAACGTTTTCCTTCAGCCCTAAAACTCGTAGCAGTAGCAAGCTGTGCCATTACATGAAATAACTGCATGTATTTCTCCCATATTTTCACAGTGGAGGAAGGCAGATTCAATTCATGTCTCAGAACAGTATGCCAAGCAATAATGAGTAGTTGTGGTTTAAAAAAAAAAGTACATGCAGGATTATTTATGGTGTCTTTCTTAGCAGCTCCTGAGGAGGAGTGTGACCCAGTTGTTTTGTGTGCTGTACAATACATGGTAAGAGTGAGTCCCTACCCTGAAGAATTTACTGTCCTAAGGCCCTAATCCAGCACGCGCACATACTCCCACACACAATTTAGGCGTACAAGGAGAGTTAACTGTAAAGCTAAATCACTGTGGATGTCTTTGCAGAATCTCGGTAAACATAAACATAGCAATTAATATCTTGATGAAGTAAACACTTAGTGCTTGTACGATTAGGCCATAATGATAGATGAGCGAACATGCAAGGATATATCAAAGGAAGATTAATTTCCATATCAATGTGGTCTATTCAAATGTAAA